CTAAAATTTTTTTTGAGATCTTTCTCTTTCTAGTCGAAACGCAGTGAACTCTTTCTCTCTTTAGCCGAATTTTTATCGGAAGCTCCCTCTCAAATATTTTAGGTAATTGACTTCATTATATTGAAAAATAATCCGTTCTTTTAAAAATGAAATGAAATAATTACTTCTGCTTATTATCATGAATTTTAGGCGAGATAAATTTTATGTGCAAGCGACCTCATTATTTTGAAAAATAATCTTTTTAATAAAATTGTGATATTTTATCTATGTTAGAAATCTTAAATGCTGTAAATTCTTAGAAAAATAAATTTATTTATTTTTCTTGTCTATTGTTAGAAAATTTTAGATACTGTAAAATTATTAGAAATAAATGTGATATTTCTGCTTTTAGTAAAATTGTGAGATTTCTTTCTACTGTTTTTGAATATTTAGACATTGTAAAATTCATGTGCAAATGATTGCCTTATTATTTGAAAACTGATATTTTTACATTTGATTATAGCATTCACTGCCGTTAAAATGTTATATGCATTTCAATTATTCGGATTATATTTAATTATGCATTTTTAAAAGTGAAATTGTTACTGCATTTCTGTTAATAGATCTCCTTTTTGAAAATATTGATATCTTTCAACCATGATTATTTTTAGGATTATGATAATCACTTACTGAGTAGTCAAACTCATCAAATTATGGTAAACATTTTTTTCAGGATAACTGCGGTTTCATTTTGAGTGCTCGTCAAGATCAACTCTGGAAGATATTGTAGTTGTGCTTAAACTTTCTTTTGTTACTTTGTAAGAATTCGCCACTGTAAATTTATCCTATCAAGAGATGTATATATGTTTTGACTGTCGCATCTCAGGAATATCAGTATTGTAAATTCTTGGGGTGTGACAACATGACTCCTCCAATAAGAAGGCATACAAAGGTTAACAAAACCGGAAACACCTCAAACTCACCAAAAGAAAATCGAATGAATTGATCAATTTTCCAATACTGGAAATAATCCAACCCAAGTTCTGATTCAATAGACATGAAACAAAATAGATTTTTTTATTTATACTTTAACAAAATAAGGCCTCTAAGAAAAGTTCGAGTACTGCAATTAAAAGTTCAAACCTACTCAGAAATGCGATATCACAGTTAACAAACCATAATGATCATCATTATATGGTGAATCAGATGCCACATGAAGATAATGGACTTAGACACAACATATGATATATCAAAATATATAAAAAAGCTCAGGAAATTTTGAAAGAAAGACTTGGTCTCAACGAACTCATTTGATTTTTTATTCAAAAGATGTTTAAGTTAAAATGATAAGATGAGATCAAATGCCCTATTCTCACTCTATCACATCCAATATTTGCATGCTATTCTTACCCTAAAAAATAGTAATGTAAAACTAGTAATCCAATTCATTTATCAAAACTTAACCTAATAATGACCCATTCAACATTCTCAACTGATAAAGCGACAGGGGACCTCTATCAAACTAATGAATGAATCCTAGTTTGTGTGTACAAGTTGCAGAAGAAATAGTCCAATCAAGAGAATTAAGGAAATTAATCAAGGACATATACGCGAATTATCATAAGGAAACTACTTTACTGTTCACAAGTTGCAGAGTTGCAATAGGAATAAATTGGATTTATAGATGGCTGAAACAACAGTAAAGAATTGTTAACAAAATAAGGCTACATCACTGTTAACAAATCGTTGGCTACATCACTGTTAACAAGTTGCAGAATTCCAATCAAAACAGATTTTTTATTTATACTTTAACAAAATAAGGCCTCCAAAAAAAGTTCGAGTACTGCAATTAAAAGTTCAAAACTACTCAGAAATGCTACATCACTAAACCGTAATGATCACCATAAAAAATAATATGTAATACTATGCAATGTGAACAAATTTTATGTATCATAAAGACTGAAGCCACTGGACTATTGTAAAAGCCCTAGCTCATGAAAATCACATAATACATCAATACTTATTGTGAGATTTTTTTGTTGTGTTGAATGTTAAAAATATATTTTCAGAAACACGTTACTACTTGTCAATCACTCTAAACATCTGCAAAAATGCTATTTAATCAATGCAAATTATTGCAATGCTATTTAAGTTCCTTGGTCCCTTATCAAACATTTACGGCAGATAATGTTAAGTCACTGCAAAATCCATGTAAAAACCACTATAAAATAGAAAAAAAAAACTCATACCTGATGCTTGAGGATTTGGCTCGACCAAAAGCTTTCTGCTGTGATCAAACAAACTGACATTTCAGAATCTTTAACTCACTATTCTTCAACCTAGCAGTTTAGGGCTTTAAGAGATGGGTGCGAGAAGCAACAAGCAGGGGCACTGATGGTGCGCGAGAGGCAGCGAGCAAGGGCAGAGATGGTGTGCGAGAGGCAGCGAGCAGGCATTTGAGCAGTTCAATGAGAAACACAAGGATGAGGTTTTACCCAAAAAAACTAAAACAAGGATTTAGAGAGAGAAAGAGTGGAGAGATGGTGAGCGATAGGCAGGGAGCAGGGGTAGAGATGGTGCGCGAGAGGCAAGGAGTAGGGGTTTGAGAAGTTCAATGAGAAACATAGGGATGACGTTTTACCCAAAAAAAAAACACAGAGATGAGGAGAGAGAGAGAATGTGCTAACAAGGAAGAGAGAGAGTAATAGTGCGTTACGAGAGAAAAGAAACGTAGTGTACGCCTGTCCTGATGTGTTAGATGGTTGTCCCGACGTGTCGAGGTAGGGTTTAAAAAAGTCGCTTTTTGAACGAAAAAGGCTGGGTCTTGGTAAAGCCGTTGTGACCGTCAAATTTTGGTAAAGCTACCCTGACCGTTGGGCGCAACTGAAGGGGTCGGTGAGCGTGTTAATCTCATCTTTGTCTTAATATATATATATATATATATATATATATATATAAAAAGCTTTTTCAACGGGTGAAAATAAATGGTGATTTTATATATTTTAATAATCATTCATAATTTATCGTACGGTCACAATTGTTTATTAGTATTTTTTATTTTTATTTTTTTTTACAAATCTGAATGATTTAAAATTTAGAATGTGTATATTTTAGTGAGGCACTCTTAATAAAAATATAAAAAAATTAATTAAAAATAACCAAAATACCCCTGAAACCTTTCGAGGGTATTTTGGTCAATGCTTTTCATGCAAATATTTTTTTCATATTTTTTTCGTATATTCACCTATTTTTTATGAACTCACGTTCCAAATTTCAGATCATTCACACTTGTAGGAAAAAAAAATGAAACACTACTAGACAATCGTGACCGTACGATGAACTTTGGACGGTGATGAGGGTAGGCGAAATCACTGTTCATTTTTGCCTATAGGTGTTTTGTAGTCTTTTATATATATATATATAAAGCTAACAATAGCTGGCCAGCTATAATGAATAATAATATAAATGAAATCCCAGCCATAAGATCTCCATTATGTGATTAAGAATGCATATCACCATATGAATTTTAATTTGTTTTTTATAAATCTGATAAAGATAAAATTTTAGGTGTATATACCTAACACTATTACACATCATATAAAATATGAAATAATCATTTTCAATAATTTAAAATAACTAAATTACCCATTTCATTTTTCATGGCTATTTCAGTCATTTTATACTTTAGAAAATATTAAGAAAATATTTTTATATATTTTTAATTGTACACCCTATTTTTTAGTACACACATCTAAAATTTCATTATGATCCGATTTCTAGAAAAAATATTAAAATTTGTATAATGATATGTATTCTGAACTACAAGATGAATATTTGACAGCTGTGATTCTATCTATATCATTATTCATTATTGCTACCCAACTATTGTAAGGTCTACTCTATATATATATATATATATACATTTTTGTCTGCATCTATATAGCACAAGCATAGCCTTGGTTCTCGGTTTTGGTTAGGCTCATATTTAAGTTTGTAAAATTTAATCCGTGTGTATACTATACATTTGTGCAATACACGTCCACTTTAAATTTAGAAAAGTCGATCCATGTCACTATGTGTATACTATCATTTATGCAATACACGTTAACCTTTCTTAAATAGTTGCTTATGGGTAAACTCTACTGAGCATTACACTTCCATGGTGTGCCTTTATAGAGGAGTGATGCCCACCATGTACAAGTTTACAACATTTTAGGAAAAACTATTAAAATATAATATGTTTATTTAATTTCAAAATATTTATAAAAAAGAACATAGTCTCGTGTTGAAATAATTGTAAAATGCAAAGTATTAAATATTTAATCTTTTATAGGTATTTTAATATGAAAAATATAAAATGTGACTATTTACCTTTGATACAAGATGATCACATTAATCTTACTCATTGGATGTAGAATTGGGTGGCAGCAATTATTCTATTAACCAAGCTCAAACTTCAAAAGAAGTTTTCTCGAACTTTGTAAAACATCCAAGCTATCAAATTTCGCATCGGATGATTGTAAGTAATTGTGACTACCTCGTATCAAACATAAACGATCTCATTATATAATCTCATTTTAATAAATTTAACTTGACTTTATTTATCAAAATTTCAATTTAAAAAGTTATTTAATCCCTATTAAGGAAGAGTATACTATGCTCCCTTAATAGCATAGGTACTTGCTTGGGAGGACTTTTTTCAATCTGAAATTTTGGGAATCACTTAAGAATTCCAAGATGATTGGTCTCAAAAAAAAAAAAATTTGACGTTTCAGCTTTCTAACACTTAGAACTCACTATCTAAAAATTCGGTATTCTCAATTCAATCTCGAGACGTTTTTTTTCAAGTGCATAGAGGATGCAATTGGGAAAGTTTTTTTTATTGAGGTTATTGTGTAGGTTGAAGAGGTTACATCTCCAATATTTGAGATCCTAAAATTAATTCTAGGTGGTGTTTTACTTGAGGAAATAAATAGATAATCTACACCGGAGTAGAATATCTTTTAGTAGTAATGAAGGGTGTGGTTTGTATAAGGCTGAGGTCCTAAACAATCAAAGTAAAGCACATCTTGAAATAGTATTGAAAGATGTCATTTTAGTACTATAAATCTTTGTGATGGCCTGAAAATTTATTTTCATCTCTAAGTATAAAATTTAAAGCTTCAAAAATAATGTAGATCGAGCAGATCTATGAATATTTGATAGTCTTGAAAATTAACAGTCCAAAAATGCATTACAAGATGCAATATTTCTAAGACTTGAAATCTATTTTTTCTCACGTTTATACATATTGAGATCGAAATGATCGATTTGATGATTTTTGGGCAAAGCAACATCTTCTGGTGAATTTTTGAGTTATGCGTTAATTTGGTTGTTTACGGCCTCGCCCTTACATAAACTTATTCTATTTAAGGAATACTATCATCTATCTTTATTAGGAATAAATGGTGGTCTCATGTCACACTGGATCAAACTGTACATATAGCCCCGATCTCAGATCGAGAGAAGATCGCACGTCTTTGGGAGAGCAAAATTAACAAAATGCACATAATTCCCTTGAGCAAGACTCTAGCTAGGAGAATTTTTTGTTTTTTTATTTGCAAGTTCTATGAACATTTTAAGGATTCTATATTTTGGGGACACGACACAATTCCCTTGAGCAAAACTCTAGCTAGGAGGGTTTTTTTTTATTTTTGGGTAGTTCTATGAAAATTTTTGGGATTCCAAACTTTGGGGACACTCAAATTCAATTTTTAGAGAACTAGAGCTAGGTGTTGAAAAACTCAAAATTTTTATTTTATTTATTTTTTAAACTTACTCATAAGGAGCTTCTAGTGGGGACCCCAGAATGTTGAATCATGAAAATTCTTGTAATTAGGTCTTTTGAAGGGAGCAAAGTCCAAAGTGTATAATTCCTATACACCCATCATATTTATTTCAATTTTAAGATCAAAGTGTTTGGGACCTCCCATCAATTTGATGGACAATCAAATATAGCATTTTAGGTCCTCATTTTTTGCATTTTATAAAATTAACCACAAAGTGGATCATACTAGAAACATTTTACGATCACAAAGGCCCTAACTAGGTGTTTTTCTCCATGGGAATATACACTTTGGTCCCATGAGATCACCATACGAATTTCCAAATTACGCATCAACATCCGTTCTCTCTTTAAAAATTTTTATTTTATTTATATAACTATTGAATTTATGATATATAATTTTTTTTATTTAATCTTTTTTTAAAAAAATTTTAAAAATGAGAAATTGATAAATTTTAACATTTTACCCATTTGTTTTGATTTAATTTCAAAATCCATATCAAAATGCAGATGATTTAAAGTTGGAATAGTACAAAAGAGTAAAACTTTAAATAATTAAAAATGAGGTTTATTTTGATAATTTTTTCCCTTTAATCATTTTATAATTTTTTCTGAATTATATACCTATTTTATTGAAAAAAACATATTTTAATTGGAGTTATTGTTTCAATCATCATTATCATCCAAGCCTTATCCTAATATCATCTGTCAAATATTAAAATTCATGTTCCAATATGAACAATTTTGTTGTATCCAATTTCATCCTATGCAACTAAAAGTGATTGTGACCTTCTTGTATTCTAAAGGAAATGATCTTATAACATGTCTTCCCCCTCATAGGAAAACAAATAGAAAAGATAAAAAAACCCCCCTCCCGAAAACAAATAGAAAAGATGAAAAATCCCCCTCCCAAGGAAAAAGAATGACCGAAAACATTTATCCAAGGCATCAACCTTATACTTTACTTTAAAAATAAGATGCACCTCAAAAATCTATCGAAACAAGGTTGTTATGATGCTAGAAAATCATCTAATTGATCAAGTTCTAAAAGTAGTAATCTTGTAACACAACCTTCCATTTTAAAAAATTTCAAGTGTTTATAGATTTAATCGATCTACACCAATTTTAGATCTTCAAATTTCATAATTAAGGTAGTCTTTCAAGTCATCACAAGGATATATAGTGCCAAAATTGGGTAACATTTGGAGGTGTGTTTTGATTGTTTAAAGTTGACACCTTCTAAAAACCGCACCCTTAAAGGAAAAAGCAAAAAAAAATCTCTTTTCATATTTTCGAATATTAAAGGGTAAGGTTTGTACCCTAAAATCTCATAATAAAATGCATTTTAGGTGCCAAAACTCTTATGATCGCCCTAAAATATATTTTTCACCCTTATTATGAAATTGAAAGCTCCCAACATTTTGCAAATCTAGCAAAGCTATGAATACTTATATATCTTGATAATGGACGTTCTAGATAATGTATTACAAGATGTACTATTATTAATGCTTGAAATTCAAATTTTCTTACATATTCATACATATCGAAGGAGAGATGATCAATTGGAGGATTTTCTAATGACGAAACAACCATTTTCCTATGGGTTTCGAGGTGTACCTTACTTGTATAGTATGAGGTTGACACCTTATATAAATGTTTTCCATTAAAAAATGTCCCAAATCTCCCCGTTCAAATTTTCTACTATAAAAAGGCCCTGTCTCTCTCTCGCTCTTCAAATTTTCGTTTAAAAGAGAGAAATCTGGTATTCTTGGCGCCAAAACCATGGACGAGAAACTAGGTCTCCCTGCCCCTTCCCCTTCAAACCCTCAACTCCTCTCTGAAACCGCAGCTCAACTCTCATCTCTAGTTGACGGTACCTTCTCCATTGTCCTGTCTTCATCTTTACTTCTCTTAAATTCTGATAAATTTCCTACTATTTCTTCTTAGAAATACAATGAAATCATGATATCACTGGTAATGTTCCTTGAGATCCTCTTAATCGTTGAATTCTGATGTATTTCATCATAAAACTTCTTAAGATTTCCATTAAATTGATTATGATCATAATAAAACTGGTAATATTCCTTTGATTCTTGAGATCATGTTAATTTTGGAGATCAAGGCTGTATAATCCAACAATTTTGATGTACTGTTGTGTTTAGATATTTTTCCTCTTCTGTATTTACCAAAAATGTGAAGTATTCAGATTATTCAGTTGGAATAATCGCGTGATTTTTAGGACTCAGAAAAATGGGGTTATATTCTCAAATTTCGGATAAATAATACACGACGAGTGGATATATGATGTACTATCAAATAAGTTATTAGGTTCTATGAATATTTGATGAATATAGAGAGAAATAAGCTGTTCACTCGTTTCTAAAAAAAAAAAGCTGTTCACTCTTAAATTCCTATTAATCAATGAGGGATACCTGCATTTTTCTCCAGATCTTGTGAATATATTGATAAATTTGTATTTCTTCTTGATACATTGATCTTTAATCTCTTTGTTTTTTTTTAATTTTATAACTTCCATTTAGTTGCAATAGTAGATCTCGTTGTGTACTTGAAATATGAAATTCTGAATCCATTATAAATTTGGCAAAAAAGCGGTGATTATTTTGAGAAATGGGGTTATAATTTCAGAAATCATTACTAAGGTATTGCTAACATATCCGTGAGACATTAGGCTGCATGCTTAAATATCGGACAAATTTAATGAGAGTTAGGTTTTGAAATTCTTATGAGTTGAGGAGAAATGTTTCTTTTTTTGTTGAGGTCTTGTGTATTCACTGATAACTTTGGATTTCTTTGATAACTTGATCTTCAATTCAACAACTTCTTTTTGATAACTTCCATTTAGTAGATCTGTTTGTACGCCTGACTCTAAAAATTCTGTGATTATGAGAAATTACCATGTGCGGACATTGCACAATGATTATTATGATAGATCTGGTTATATGCTAAAAAATAATTTAGGAAGGCATTAAGAAATTAGATTATAGATTGATTAAGTGTAGTCAAACTCTTATAAATAAAGTTTTATGCCATAATATATGATTATACGAGACATCAGTTTGAATGATCAAAGAGCAGATGCATCTTATTCGGATTTCAGGTTATATTATCATGGAGCAAACAAATATGAAGTGAATCTATAACGTGGACAGAAGAGAGAGGAAGGTTGTTACAGTTCTATATCACTCATATAATCGTATTGATTATTGCTTAATTCTGTTATAACTGTAGATGTCATACAACAAGCACAAGGAGCCACAGAGAACATGCTTCGGATGATAAGGTCTGTAATATATGAAAATAATTATGCTTTCCAACAAAATTGTGTTTTTATAGTTGTTATTACCTTATGAAACAGTTGGGACTATTTGAAACATTGCATCATTCATTGAAGTGCTATTCTATTTGGAACAGTATCTGATCTGCGTTTGACCTGAATCAGATATATCATCAAATCTGAAGCAAATAAACCTGACATTGTCAAACAAAAATAGTGTATTCTCATTTAGACACCTATTTTGTTATCTATATTGAGCTATTATGTTAGGAATTTATTTATGTTCTTTCTTCTACTGATGCAATGAGCTTTGGTCTTATTTATAGGCTTAGTTTTTAACACTATCGAATACAAGCTTTTCGTAAAATTTGCTTCCTATCAGAAGAAACCATATGTTTTGAATTTTTTACTGAAGATGTATTGTTAAAAAATATAAATGACAATTTAAAATCTTTGTATAATGTATTGTAAAGCATTTTTCGAAGCCTTGTGGTTTTTGTACAGGGCACCCAGTTGTGGGCTGCCTATAGGCTTGTAATTTCTTGATCTTAATACAATAAAACATTCCCAAAAACAAAAAAAAACTGCAGGTTGAGGAAGTCTTCAACTACATAGAAGGGTTAATATGTCTGGTTTTAACTTGTTCAGATGTCAAATAAATGTGGCTTGACAATTGCTCCAGGAAAAGGCCTTAATGAGTAGGCCCCTTGGTCTCGCAAATGAAGTTCGAAATTCGCCCTGAATCTTCTCCTCTTAGAACTTTTAAGGGTTCTTTCACTAGCCTAACTTGCATCCCCCCAAAATCCCTTCCCATTTAAATCGTATACACAAAATTTCAGTTATTAAATCTACGTGATAACTATGGTTTATGTAACTAATATACAATCAATTGAGAAATCAGAAACAATGGCACTATAAATAACTGCATAAACTTGTCTCATGGACGATGGTAGGATCGGATGATGATGTATTTTCATGGGGATTCAATCTGTTTTAATTATCAAAGAAAAGGAATCACTCTCTTTTATGATGTTAGCTTGCTTTTCATGTGTACATCTCAAAGGGAGAGAAACATTTCCCAAAATAAGCATTAATTCTCAGATATTTTGTGAACTGGGGAGGAGAGAGAAACATCTCTAATAAGCAGCATTTTTTAAAAAATATCAGGATTCACGATGGTTGGGTTGTCGACCACAATACTCTCTGATATTGGCTTTGCCATCCTCTATGTATCTCCGACAAGTAACCCTTCTTAGCAAACATGAACAACATTTATGTACTACATGAATTCTAAAGAACAATAATGATGCATCTGTATCACCTCTCAATGGTGGAAGCTAACTATCCCACATGAATCTGCATGGCTTGTTATTTTCCTTATGTTTGTAAGATGGTTGTATTTCATGGGCTACCAGGGACAGTCGGTGTCTACATATGATTACTCTTTTCAAAACACAGCATGTGTGATTTGTGACTAATATGTACCAGTTCATGGAATCCTGACAACTTAGTTACAGTAATATCTGATGGATACACTATGATATCACCAATCTCTTCAGATGTACATAATCCTTCACTCATGTGCCACCACAAGAAGTCGAGTGTCATCACACTAAACTAATGGTGTAATCTATGAGAATAGACATTCCCTGTACTGCATATGGATCACGCATATATTGCTTGAAATTTGTACTGGAACACTTACCAGATATATGCGAAGCACATTCATTCTTGAATCAGGCACAAAACCATTTATCAAGGTGTATGTCGGGAAATTTTGATTAGGTTTGTTCTGATAATTGTAAGATAGATATGTACAGACATGCCTACACGCATTCACATGTTCATGTATGCACACGCACATTTATGTGTGTTTCTTTCTACGAAACATGAACAGTGCATGCTTTTAGCTTAAATTTATTATCAATATTTTGAAAGTAATATAATTAGCAATTGCAATCTTTTGCCGATAAATTGTCATTGCAGTGAGATCGACGAAAGCTCCAATGGTATAACAGAGGAAATGGCTCAGAGTAAGGAATCAACAATCAACAGGAAGAAGACGTTAGAAGAAGAGAGAGAACGTTTTCAAAACGCAGCCATGAATGTGTTGGCGATGCTCACTGGTGAGAACAATTAAGATACTGTAGTCTTTGAAGTCTTTGAACCTTACAGCCATAACTAGAGGAAATTTACAAGGAATCTTTGTGTCTGTGTTTTTCTTCCCCCAAATGATTTTGGAATTACTTTGGTAACATTAAAAAGGCCAAATAATTGAGAAAAAAAATACTTGGGGAGATTTACTTTTCTTTTTTTCTTTTTTCCCTTTTCCTTTTGTATGCAAGCATGGATTATGACCTTGCTCTCAAGGAGTTGAGCAAAGAGCTCCATTACACCACACTACATGGATGAAAAAAAGCAACATAATATCTTGAAATTTGTTCATAACATGTAGAAATCCAATAATGAAATTGACTTAGGATTTTCATAAAAGACTATGAACTTAATTTCTGAATTTCCCAACTGAATTATACACTGAAGTTATATATGTTAATCAAGAAAGCCTCTAAGTTGACTGCATTGCCACTGCACAACTGCAAAATAGCAGTCCATTGAGCATAAAATGTCATTCTTATGAAATGTACATTAATTTCTTCAAAGATAAAGGAGTTTCTGGATAGAAATGTGCTGCACACTTTCTAAGTTCACTATTAAAAGCTACACAAACCACCAATAGTTTGAACCAAATGTTTGTAAGCTGATATTGTCTCATATATATATATATTGGGAATGTTAACTGAATAGAAATAGAACTCAAGATACCATATTGTGGCACCTTGCCATGTCTCCCACATAGGCCTCAGTCCGTTCCTGACACTGTCTCATGCATTATCCTATGATCCAAAGTGTTAGCACACTAAGCATTAAGAAATCCATCTTTCTTTTTGATCCAATGTGGTTACCAAAAATGTAGATGTATAATTCTTTTGGTGGGTGTGATTACAAAAAATGTAGGTATAAATATAAGGGTGCAGTTTGTATAGAGCCTTGGCTCTAAACAATCAAATTAGAGCCTACCTTCAAATAGTGTTGAGAAATGTGGTTTCAATATTGGAAATATTTGTGATAGCCTTAAAATACATTTTCATCTTTATTTATAAAGTTTAAAGCTTTAAAAATAGTGTAGATCGAGATATCTTGAAAATCTTGAAAATTAACAGCCCAAAAATGCATTACAAAAGACACTATTTTCAAAACTTGAAATCCATTTTTTTCTCATGTCTAGGCATCATCTTGATGTGGTGATGATCAATTGATGATATTTGGGCATTAAAACAACCTCTTCTAGTGAAATTTTTGAGATGGGCTCAAATTTGATTGTTTGGAGCCTCGGCTTTATATAAACTTTTCCCTAAATATAAAAGGTGCGGTTTGTATAGCTCTAAACAAGCAAAGTAAATCGCACTTTCAAGTAGTGTCGAGAAATGTGGTTTCAATACTAGAAATCTTTGTGATAGCTTGAAAATATATTTTTATCTTTAATTATAAAATTTAATGCTTAAAAAATAATGTAGATAGAGCAAATTTATGAAAACTTGAAAATCTTGAAACTTGACGGTCAAAAAATGCATTAGAACTATTTCCAAAACTTGAAATCTATTTTTGATGAACTATTTCCAAAACTTGAAATCCATTTTTATCCTGTCCATGCATCTCGATGTCCAGATGATCAATTTGAGGATATTTGTACTTCAAAACAACTTCTTCTAGTGAAAATTTTGAGGTGGGCTTTAATTTGATTGTTAAGAGCCTTGACTTTATATAAACTTTTTCCAAATACAAAATAAGGATTGTGTACCATGAGACTATTGAATTTTGGTACAAAGGTGTCACAATTACTTTTAACAAATAGATGTGAAATCCAATACATGAAATTGTGTTACAATATTTGAGAAATTTTATTTTGGACATTGTACCCAATGACAGATCTTTAGCCACCCGATTTCAAATCTAATGGTCAAGGATAAGTGTGACCTTGTATCAAAATGATTGTATACATTTTCTTATATAGCCCCAAATAAAATTCTAAAATTTCATGTGGTGAACAAAAAATCATCTACTAGAATTTTAAAGTTAGACTATAAGGGGGTTTTATTTTCATGGAAAATGAAAGCCCCATCTTTCACGTAATTTAGAAGACGTCTTTTTAATGTTAATTTGGAAGCCCCTGTGGCTCCCAAATCAATGCTACACTTCCCGCACCCGAGCAAGAAGTGCCAGATGTCCCCTACAATTCGCCCACCTCAAGAGCCACTAATGAGGTGGGTGCTGAGGGACACGGCTACGCCCGCTGAACCTACCACCATGAACCTTGTCCGGACTCTAGAACACAGTATTTAGAGAGTTTCAACCAGCTCGGTTATTGCTCAAGAATCCTTCCCCTAACCCTAAGAAAGACTTCAAAACCATGGAGGGAGAGTTTGAAGCGATATATTCAAATGATAATAGTTTGAAGCTATTTAAAGCTTGAGGACTGCACCACGTGGAGGAAATAAGAGATTCAACTGGGCAATGGACCCGGACCCAGCCGGGCACCCAAGGGGTAGAGACCCGATCCAGGTCCGGGTATGGGTCTAAAAATTAGACAAGTCAAGTCCGGTAATATTTTTTAGGTCCCAATATATGAAATATATTTAAATATAGTTAAATACAAATTTTTTTTAATTTTTGAATCTGGTCCGGGTCTCACACTATATTTTCGGATCCAAGTACAATGGCTTCGGGTCTAGGTCCCATATCATTTTTCCAAGGTCCGGCCAACCCGACTCGTTGCCACCCCTAACCCTGCCTCACTCAATGTTATGAATCTGCCATACTTGTAGCCACAATATGTAAATCTGGATTGGTCGGCCCAAGACTAGGTCAGATTGACCGGGCCTGGTCTCAAACTAGGTCAAACGAGGCTCTCTCCCGACCTGGATTAAACTGCCCTATAGGCTCAGCCGACCTGTCCGAGTCATGTCAAGACTCATTTTTTTGAGTGTTGTAGAGCCAATCGAATTATGTGTTTTTCAAGGAAATGAAGTAAATTTGATGAACAAAATAACACGTAAGCAATAAATTACAAGAATGTTGGAAAATTTATAGAGAAATTCTATTTCATATTGGGAATAAAAAATAATTCCATAAAATTCGTATTTTATTAGAATCCCAGTTTTCGAAAACATATAACATATTTTAATTTATCTGTTCCCTATATAGTATAGGGGTATTTTGTTATTTATTATTTTCAAATTAAAATATAACAACAATTCAAAATGACTAAAATACCTTGAATACCACAGGGGTATTTTGATTATTTATTGTTTTTAAATTATATTTTTAATACTTTTTAAAATTATGTGATAGTGAAAAGTATAAACATCTCAAATTTGAGCTTAATTTAATATATAGGAAAAGAGAAAATTAATATATATTTTATTCTCTTTAAAAGCAACTTGAATGTAAATGTGAATTAGGAAAAAGTTTATAAAAGGTTGCGACTTTAAAATATAGAATTAAAGATGCACCTAAAAAATCCATCGAAAAATGTTGTTTTAATGTTAAAAATCTCTCTAATTGATCATCTCGACATCAAGATGTATGAATATATATAAAAATGATCTTGAGTTCCAAAAATAGTACATGCTGCAACATATTATGTAGACCCTTCATTTTTAAGATTTTCATATGTTTATAGATCTACTTAATTTTAACTATTTTTGGAATTTAAAATTTTATAATTAGATGTGAAAATACATTTTGAGATAATTCTAAGAATTTTTTATACCAAAATTACATGTTATGATAAAATTTAATTTGGAGGTCATTGTTTAAGGTTGTAACCTTATAAAATCTGCAACCTATGAATTATATAGGATTTTAAATTCCAAAAATAAAACAATTTTTTTCTGTACATTTCCCAAGAATGTTTTATCAACTCATTAATGACTTACTCTTTAAGTATTACCATAAATAAGAAACCATTTGACTGGGTATTATATATGAATATTATGAACAATTTCTCCCTCACGATTTTCTACTGCAAAAAGAAATGCTAATAAGAAGCTCTCTTACATCCTTTTCTCTCAATTTGGGCGCCCCTTCACGATTTACCACTTTGATCATTAGTGGGACTTTTATTTTTGTTACAAAATTCAAATTCAAATTATATTATTGGATTTGTATTAGAGAATGAATTTAATAAACTAGAAATACAACACTCTCTCTCCCTCCCTCCCTCGCTCTCTCTCTCTCTCTTGCCTATTTTCCACTCAAATTATTTTCTAAACCAAAAAAATTTCTCTCAACTGTGAAAAGTTCTCAGTTCGACATGATCAGTCTCAAGTCAACCCTGACAACGTGACTAAGTTCAGGATCAGGACTGGGATTCCGAACTCTGCCTTGGAAAGAAATGTGTGTGTGTGAGAGAGAGAGAGATACAAATATGGGTTTGGCAGATCCCCATAATCATAAATATACATACCCAAAGAGGGGCCTTCAACTCTTGGATGAAAGCAAAATAATGCAACATCACCATCTCTAAACCAAATTCACAAACAACCCCCAAACGCAGTTTGCTCTTTGTGCAGTAGACTCTTCATATCCCTGCCCAAATGCAATCGTTTTGTAAGAATTATAGATGTGGACAAAAATATACATACGCACAAACATACATGCATGCATATACACACATAATGCATCGCCTTCTTGATACATTTAATCATTTCCTGTGATTGAGTGAAATCTCTCTTTCAGATATCAGAAAATGAAACTTCATCCACCCAGTATCGACAAAAAGCAACAATGGATTCAAACCCATTAACAACAATTTCCTATTCATCATCATATTTATATATCCCATAAATCCTCCACATCTCACAATCGAAATAGTCAGCATGCACCCATTTTCTATTCCATTTTCATCGCTTTAGACCCCATTTGTACACATCATTATCAGATAGTCTTAATGATCTCTAGGTTGTTTTATAGATTTTATAACAGCAACCAATACGCCACTTATTTCCATGGACCCCAAGATCTTCAACACTATAAAATCTGTCCCTCATCATAAAGACAAAACTTACAAAGCATCTTCAAATGAGTATTTACCTATAGACTTTGATGAGTGCTCGTACCAATAGAAACTGAACAAAGCACTGACTCAAATTTCTAAGGAATGCATGGCTTCAAAGATGATCAAATCAACAGAGAGTGGCTTTGCTAATTAACAGTTTGTGAAAGAAAGCAATATTGGAGAAGCATGTGATCAGGCATGCTAAAGTGCAGTAAGGGAAAAACGAAGGAACACATCAAGAGCTTGGAAAGAATTCTAAAGATAATGGATTACTTCACAGATGAAATCCATGCATATGTGGGCGCCGGTCATAGATATCACACTTCATTGGATAGATGATGTAGATTAGCGATTGCCAAATGTCATGGTTGTATAGTTCTCTGACTGCTGTTAAGATGTGTGCTAGATGTCCCTCAGATATGAGATAACTGAGAATGGAAAAAGAGGAATTTGATGACTATAGGTGAGTACATGTATGAAACACAAGTTAGACAAAGGAAAATGGGAGTTTGAAAAATCAAGGACACTTGGCAGCGTCTTCTACGCACAGGAAGTTAAGCAAGGTAGACAATGCAGTTCTTTTGTCAGCTTGAGATTGAGGAAGAATAATCACCCTTCCCCACTTCAGCCACAAAACACATACAAGAATCCAAGGACAAAAATAAAAGAAAAGAAAGAGAAAACAGGAAAAAGAAAGAAGGAAAGAGGGAGGAGTGCACAAGGGTGAAACACATGAGAGAAATGATCAAGAAAGACAGAAATAGAGGGTTTGGGAGATGGACTAGAGAAGTTTAAGTGGAGTAGAGAGCACAAAGGAAACAGAACAAAACGGGTTTTTTTCCTTATTATTATCAAGAGGGAGGTAGAACACCAGGAGATAAGAGGATGTAAAGTCACCTTGAAAAAAGTTATAGAGGGATAGCCACCCTAACTGGCTTATCTACGATGAAATAGGTGAGGACTTAGAGAAACTACCTACGTCCATCAGGAGTGTCTTATAAGTTGATGAGAGAATAGTGCCGATAGTTCCTCTGTAGTGTGTGGCTTTTGTTCTATAGGCTCTTCAAGTAACATCTTGGTTAGCAAAATTATTCCCCGGAAATATAGATAAAAATCATCTTCCCAATTAGCAGATCCCAAGATCTTAAAGTCTAGATGTTTTATTGGCATATAGTTGAATCATCCAGGTCTTCTTTTTGGATTAACCAAGAAATTATCTTAGTTTCTAGTGATATCCATCTTAAATTGTTTATGATGATGCTCATTCACCCTGCAGAAGTTAGAAAGCAGTCAATAGATGGATAATTCCATGTCAAAATGGCCAATTGGAAAAAGTCCTCATTTTTTGACCAAAATTTGTCTAGCTGTAGGAGTGTCTATATCATATCTAGGTTAATCTTAAACACCTCTTGGTACCGGTCTGATTGTCTTTATTACTCTTGTGCGAACATCTAATAGATAATGCTCTTTTCCTGATACCTTTTCAATGGTAAATTTATACAGAGAATAAAAATTGGCACCATGCACATCGTTGTAATTTTGGACTACTAATAATTTTATTTTTTATAATACTAACTTAGAATAATCTGTTCTCAAGATGAATTCTTCTCCAATTACAGCAGTATGGAATCATTCTAATTCTGTAACTGCGCCAAAATTTATTTTTCTGGGCTAATAATTTAATTCATTCTTTTTAAGTTGCCCACTGGCATACACTCAAAACTTTTTCTTCTTTGCCTTAATACTTTAATAACACCACTGCCCAAGTGTCTGAAGATGCATCTGTTAATAAGATGGAAGGACCTTCGTAGACTGGGGATAAAGGGGGACAGTTGGTTTAATTCTCCTTGCAATACTTAAAAACTTCTTTAGAGGCATCTTCTGTCCAGGAAAGTGGCTCTTTTGTCATAACAACTATTTTTTTCTTGGTTATTTCTGATGAGATCGGTATAAAATCCCAGACATAATTTACGCATCCAAGAAACTTTTGGCATTGTAACTTTTCTCATAGTTAGTGGCAACTTTTCAATTTTCAGGATTACAAGGGAGGGACTGCATCTTGATCAGGCCATTTGAAATTTGGACTCCCATAAATTCTATAATCTCTCTAGCAATCTGGAATTTATCTTTGGAAGCTGAGAGACCAATACCATGCTTTTTTACAATTTTTTCAAAAACTTTTAAACGCTCCAAGTGGTCCTGCATACTATCAGAGAAAACAAGAAAGTCAACTATATAGATAGCAATAAAATTAGAAAAATGTTTGAAAATTGTGTCCATCCTTCTCTGAAATTTTGAGGGGGCATTCTTTAACGCAAAAGGCATCACCATCAACTCATACAATCCTTCTCGAGTGGATAAAGTTATTTATGGATATCCTTTTCCTATAATCTTGACCTGGTGATAGCCTGAGTTGTAGGCAAATTTTGAAAAGATTTTCTTTCTTGCAACCCTTTGAAACAATTCTTCTCTATATGGAAGGGCCATTGGATAGCACTAGTCACCCTATTTAGAGGAATATAGTTCATTACCATTCCCACCTGTCCTCTTTTTTCTTCATTATGATTTCTTACGATAAAAGCTGCACAAGAATGGTTTGACTCTGACTTTCAATAGCCCTTTTTCTTCCAATTCTCTTACTTATGGGATTTCAACTCTTCTTAATCTTCTTTATTGCATCTAATGGGTTTACTCTCGACTGAAATATCATGAAGAGTTGGTACATGAACAGTAGGGAATCTTTGTCGCAATTTTCTGAGCATGTTCTCTACACCACCTCTTGAGGGCATCTGTAATACTTTTTATGTCCATCAACTGGGAACTTACTTCAAATTCATGCCTTTGATCTGCTTTATCAATTCATACTTTTCTTGCGTTTTTTCCACTTTGAGTTCTTTTCATTATTTTTACAATAAAAGGATTTCCTTGCAATTATTAGTTCTCATCTCAAAAGATTGAGGCATTCTAGGCACAATCTGTTTTTCACCTTCTATAGTAAAAATAAGCAGAGCCTTTGAGATGGTGTAAGGACTAATTTCATCCAATGTTACCGAGCCAATTCCTGCTTGGTTACCACCATCATCAATTCTAACAAAATTTACCATAGTAATTTTGTCTCCAATTTTCAAAGGGACATTTAGGGTAAATTGTATTGATTTCCTTATGCCATTCATTTTTCATACCATACTGCTTCTCCTTGTGGGTGTTTTATCCAGTCTTTCCATAATTTCTTGGCACAAAAATTTATATTAGCCCATGTCCAAAAATAGCTTTATTTTCTTCTAATTTTCTCCGCCAACAACAACTATTTTTGCTGGTACTAATAAAAGATTTCTCATATGTACCATCTTTCTTAATTGATAAACATCATCCTTTTGTAATTCTTTTGCAACAGGGGTATCAAATAGATTTCGAAACTCTCCTTTATAGGTACTTTTGAAACGTTGTTTTATTTCCTCAATACTTATCTCATCATCAGAGAAAATAAACTCATCATCATCTGAACCAAATAAAGAATTGGCAGAACTCATACCTTCTAATATTTGGTATGGACATGAGGATTAACTTTCTTTTTCTTCTTCGTTCTTCTTTTTCTTCATCTGATAAAATATTTGCCCATGAAGCCGTTTTTATTTGCCAAACTATTTATTCTTCCTCTTCAGAAATCCTTGTAATCTGCATCAAACTTCGGAGGAAAAATATGATCTTTCTTTTCTCCTGTTCTTGGCTTCCAATTTGTGGTGTAGAGTATCCGAGAACTTCACTTTCTAATAGCTCTATAAATACTGGATAGGCAAAGCCATATTTTGGAGCAAGATATAGTTCGGATAAAGCATAAATGTTTTAGCCAAGACAGCTGTAATACACAGCTCCACATGATTCTATTAAAGCAATAGGATATGCGTCTGTAGACAGGTATCGTCTTTTTTCTCTTTTTGGAGGAATAACTAGGAGGTCTTGAATATTCAAGAGGGATTACTAAATCTTTGTCAATGTGGGGTGAACCCTAATTAGAATGTTTTAATATTTTAACCTCCAAAATTGGCTCGTCGAAACTGGTTTTAGCTATGCTAAAAGAGGAAGTGTCATGGCCTCTTCTTTGAAACTGGTGTTTCTCTGTTGGGTTTGGCAACTGACATCCTGCACTACTTACCCAAAAAATACTGTCATCCTGCACCTGTGTGGGTAGTTATGGAGTTGGGGGGGGTGAGTGAGTATGGTCTGGACACTGTCGCCATTCTGTGCTGGTGATGGTGAAGGGGACTCTCTGAGGTGTCGAGGCAATATGAAGTTCCATGGGCAAGATTGAGTGCTTTAGGGCGAGTCATGTTATGGGAGGGATGGAGAACTATGTTGGTTTTGAGATGGGTCTGCGCTTGGGTGTGAAAATAAGGTAGAGGACAGTATGTTATTTTGCTCTCTTTCACTCATTCTCTCTTTTGTCGCATTCTTAAACCCCTTAGTAGAATGAGTTTGAGATGAAGGTCCAGCAGAAATCTGTAACACCTCTCTTCCCTAACCTTTTTCTTCC